AAAATTATAAGTGAATTTTAAAATAATTTAAAATTAACCATAAAATTATCACTCAACCTGTCTTAAATTGATAATTTAACATTTTTAAATTTTATCAAGAGCTATTAAATTTTTTTACCACCGCCAGATTAATTATACCATTGTAATATCCAAAAAATTAAGTCATAGAAGTTCAATCAATAAATAATTTTTTTTGTATTTAGTTTTCGTCAATTGCGAACGCCTTGAGAAATGACGGCATATAATTTTTTTTTTTTTTGAGCCTTCCTCTTCATATGTTAATAAACACGTTCAACATAAATAAATTTTGTAATTTTTTTTCGTAAACAATTAATAATACACAAAACAAGGCCCACGAGTCGCCTCTGCAAGGATATACCTGGGAATTACTGGTTGGGGATTTAGTTAGGCCATAAAGCCAACAAATGCAGAGCCCATTTTGAAGAATCAAACATAAGGGCGCATAGAAATTTGAAGATAGCTTGAATGCTTGTTCCCGTTTTAATCTTTGAAAGAAGTCAAAGGATTATAACCTAAAGCAAAACTAAAATCAAGATATTAAATAAATAAATAAATAAAACGTCTTGTTATAAACAGTTTTCTAAGTTACAATTGAATCACCCTAAAAACAATCTTTGCGACACCAACAAAAACAGGGACATCAAAGCAAATTGTGGATACACAAACCATCCAGATGCAGAGTAAATCATTAACAATGTAGAGAAGACAAGCAAAACTGGCACATTATCATCACAGCATGAAATTAAGGCATGCACTAAGTTCATCTTCCCTCTGGTTGTAAATAGCTCACCAGTCATCCTTTTTCAATTCTTTTTTTTTTATGATGAATGCTTCATGTGCAGAATTTTCAGAGTAACATGGCAAGACACTTAAATGGTAAACGAAGAAAAAGCACTCTGTACTGAAGCTACAAAGAGGATTAGTAGTTTTCCACCATTAAAAGCCTTCATCATCCATCACTCTTCATCATCAGAACTAGTGTCATATGCCAAGCCGAGCAATCCACCAGCAGGATTATCCATCTTAATCTTTCCTTCTGCCTCTCGTGATTCCCCTGATGAAGGCTGTTTCTTATTTGCTTCTGACAAGGACTGCTGTCCCTTCTCTTTCAGTCTTTCACTCTCAGACTCACGTTTTGTAATATTAGCATTACTTGGAACTGGGGTTGATTGATTGCCATCAGATGGGCTAGAAAGCTTTGGTCGCTTTGGCTTAATTTCCACAACTTTCTTCAGCAGATCTTGCTGCCTACATCACAAAGGATATAGACTATGAACAACACCAGAACCAGAACAAAAATAAGATATGAATAAAGGGGGAAGAGAAGGGGGAGGGAAGAGAAAAGATCTACCTTATCCCGCTCTTTGGTTTTGGTTCAACACGAAGTGGTAAGGGTACTGATGCAGGGGTAGAATCCGCCAAGTTTGCAGCTCTGTGTCCATTTGTCAAGGAAACACCAGAACACAACTTAAAGCACGGGTAATTTTATCATAGCGTTGTCATTATCAAATAATGATGACATCAGCTAAAAACTACCAGGGTTGAATTTGGATTAATCAAGTCAATAGAAATTATTTAAACATTTGTATCCGTTGTGATCCTCTTTCACAGAAAACAATCCCTTCGGTATTTGTTTGAGATCACCAAATCATTACTTTGTCAGTTTTATAAAACTGAACTACAACTGACAAAATCAACAAGAGTACTCAAACATTTCGATGAAAGAATCAATGTGTCTTGCTTTCAAAATAACAGAAAATAAAATGAAAAATGATGCAAGGTAAGTAATAGAAAAGGAATAGAATTCAAATAGTTATAATTAAAACACCCATAATTCTACTCTCTAGGAGATAGGGAGAACATACAGGAACAGAAGGGAAGAAATAATACATATTGAAATCACAGTTCCATTCATTTTAAGCAGTCAGAGAAAAGATTATTAAATTGTGCACATTGCTAACCAGTTAATTAAACTGTGGTTCTATGATATAAGAAACAGTTATGAACCCAAGAAGAATAAGAAGACACAGCTCCTTCAGTATGGCTGACCAGAAAAGGATATCTTAAATGCAGCAAATGCCCGTTTTTCAGTACGACGCAGGAGGCGCTCAGCATCCTCCTCAGCTTCCATCTGCTCCTTGAGATAGAGTAGATCATCACTGTCCAATGCTGCATATATAAAATTTCAAAAGGAGATCAAAGCAACTAAGGTAATATAATGGCAACAGATAAGACCAAGTGCAGGAACACATGCAACAGACAAAAGCAATCATGGTAAAGTGGTACCCCCTCGCCCATGAAGGTAACCTCCACGCTCTCCAGCAACCTCTTGCATCTGCTTGCATCAGCCACCCGGTACAGGAAGCCAATATCCCTGCCGGGGCATGTTATCAGCAAAATCTCTCAAATTGCAACATAAAATAATTTTAAGTGCGAGACAAGGTAGGTATAATTACAATCACTGTTAAAACTGGTCCCTTCATCATAGTCCTAATTTATTTAGGACCAAATAAAAGCTGTAGAAGGAATTAACAAAGTGAAATGATAGGCCAAAAGAGAGCCAAAACAGAAAAGAAACAAATAAAAAGTTTTCAAGAGAGAAGTATACAACTTGTGTAGCCCATTTCCTCGCTCTCACAAATGAAAGAGAAGAAACTCAAAATTATACAGCATGAGTAAGTAGTAACCCAGATTCTTCAATTAAGTCACAAATAGAGCCAGGCCATCCTATGAATGCCAGAGTTCTGTAAACAACATCTAGTATCATGTACCCTCATATAGTATTTATGATACCAAGTGATGGATACCAGATGATAAGGGCTTAGACTCAGATAAGGATGCCCTGCACACCATTCGTTCATGAGGATGGTGCAGGCTGGGCATACCGCATACCCGTGAGTTTCCACCTCGTGTTAAGTTTCTTTCTACTTGTGCATATAACAACCAAAGAAAACCGTGTAAGATTGAAGAAGATTATATATATATAGTATGAAGACTACAGAAAAGGAATTATGGGTATGAATGCATCGGCTTAGTTGCACAAGCTGCATTTTATAGTCCATTCCGAGGTAATTCCTGGTGTATATAAGTAGATTGTAAAAGAGTTCCTTTTAAGTGACAAATCGAGCCCAACCACTAAAGATTAGCACAACATTCAAACTCAAGCTTAAGCTTACAAGCATATGGTGCTCAATTTTTCTTTTGGCCAGCATATGAGTGCTCAACAATCATTTAAAGCCTCACATAGATTCGCCAAAAACGGAAAGCGAGGAAAAATAAAAAGCATTCAAGGAAAAAGAAGGCGGGGGAGGGCGATTCAATGCGCTAACCTTGGCAACCATACGTTGAAAAGTAATGTCTTCATCGTCTATCTTATCTTTTCCTTTAGCCCATTTTTTGTCTGCAGATTCAAAACGAAATTAAATCAAAACTAAAAACTATAAAATAAGAGGGGGTGGAAGAAGAAGAAAATTTCACACACCAAAAGAAATCAAAATCAATTACCTTTCGGGTCGCTTAGGTTAGTATATTCTCGAACTTCCCTACCCGCCGCCATCTCCGATTATTTGCACCGACCTGGAGATGCAGCTTCTTTTTTCCTCAGAAAAGAAGAGATGAGACTGTCAAGTTCTTGGGATTACGAATTGGAGAGCAGAAGATGATTACTTTCCTGAGGACGAACGAAGAAGACGCTTCTAGAACACGGTATCAGAATAACGACCAAAAATTGAGGGTTAGGTATTATTATGGATTCTCGCCTGTGCGCGGGAAAGAGACAGAGAGGGGGGTGGGGTATAAATCCGGACTCTCTCGTCGCTGATGCGAATAACGCTGGAGAACACAGGGATGAGGAGTGACCGAGTGAGGAGTGACCCAGGGAATGGATTGAGCCCTTTTTTTCTTTAAAAAAAAAAAACAAATAATAATTATAATAAATTGAGGGAATTGAACCTTTTTAACTCGCGTCTATGAGCCCGTGTAAAGACATTTGGGCTTTAATGAGAGCAGGCCCGTTAATCTAATCTTTCCCACCTCAAAAAGATTTGAAAAATCCAACCGGATCTAATAATCCAATATAATAATGTGATGAACCAGATTCAAATTCTTAAGAGAATCATTGATATTTAGTGCTCGACAGAAACTTAAAAAGTTTTTGAATAAAAATCAAATAATTATTTTAAAAACTAATTTTACAATATACAAAATGAGTATGTGGAATGAGTTCTCTATTTGCGTTAAATTCATCCAAACATCTCCTAATTTCTCTTTTTACAACTTTTATCCACTTTCTCTCCCTCTCCTCTCTCCACTGTTAGATTAAAATTTGAGCAGTATATATTTAATATTTTTGAAATTATTTTTAAATGTTTTATTGTAGTTTTTAACTGGAGTTTAGCATTTTCAAATTTATTATTTATTTTTTAATAATTTGATATTTTATTAGTAATTTCAAAAAATATTAAATTAGGGCTACTCAAATTTTAATCCAATAGGAGAGATGAATATTGAAAGGGAAGAGTAGAAGAGGAAAGTCAAATCTACTCAACAGTGCTTCAAGTTAAACCAACATAATCAATTTTTCTCAAATTAATCCTATTAATATTTTCTCCATAATAATTAAGTAGGAGAAGGAGGAAAGAAAATAAAGATAATACTTATAGTGTCTTAGGAAAAAAAAACAAACCATACTAAATAATTTAATTAACATCATTAATCTACTCAAATTAATTAAGTCTTACATTAAAAATCAGAAGTATATGAGCAAATAACAGCTCAGTATATGGCTTCATTTAAAATATTACTCTTTCATTTCTTAATATAAAACTCACTTTGTAGTGTAAAGATTTAGTACTATATTTAGCATCATAAATGGTCTCCATGGTCAGCATTATGCAGCTCTAAACAGAAAAATGTTTAAAAATCAATTAATATTACACCAACACAATTTGAATATTGGTCAGATTCATACACCAACATGGTAATCCATAAATCGCAACATTCTATATATCCCTTCCAATTGTTTGTAACATACAAGAAACCATCCGCATGATCAAAATCATTTTTCTTCCCTACAGCAAGAGAATAGAAACTCCTGTACAAATGAGCTGTCAGCTCGAGCACTGAAAGAAAGTTAACCGAAAAGCCTCAAGAAAAGTCAGGAAATTCCCGGAATGGAGATGCAAAATTTTGCAATAAGGTTGTCAGGCAAGAACACAGCAGACAATGTTCATGACCCCTAATTGGAAACACCGTCAGTTGTAAAGTGAAGATTAAATTTCTTCTAAGTTGCAACACATGACTTCATAGTTTTTTCCAGATGTTCATGATGCCATCCGCAAATGACTTCAGACTTCCCCACAAAGTTGTTTTCTTTGGAGCCTCAGCATCACCGATCTCCCTATTAGAGTTGTCTCTGGACAATGGGAGAGAACAAACAACCTTAACATACAATATATTAAAGATGGAAAAGTTCAATGTAAATTTCACTGGATGAAAAACAAGATGGCCTCATTTTAACCGAGGTGTTTCACTGAATGAAACAATACTTCAATGTAAATTTCATTCTAAGAAACAAATCAAGCTTTACATAGCTTTCATATTTCTTTAACAGAATTCTCTGAGTATTGATTTTTACAAAAATATGCATTAATTTTAAAATTTTCTAACGCCATATTTATTTCTGATTCTTTAAACATAGTTTAAATTTTTAACTTGATTTGAAGTTGTTTTATAAATGTTTTATATGAAAACTTAAGACAGGAATGAAACATTGAATTTTCAATTAAATGTATTCCCACCACATCCCATTTCATATCATGAATCAAAGCCATTTCAATTAGATGGTATCTTCTAAGGAGTGACAATTATGAAGACTTACATTTTTGACTCACTCACTTCTGAGGTTCCATGAACTTGCTCCATTGTATGCTTTGGACCGTCAATACTGGGAAGGTCTCTCAACGCATCATGCTCTCTTCTCTCACGTCCAGCTTTCTCAATGTTCGTTTTCTTCATTATCATATGATTTTCCGTATCAGATAACTCAGAATCGAGATCTTTGCTCTGACTACTTCCAGACATTTCACTACAAGGAGCAGAAATGTCATGCACCTCATCTTTCATTGGACGAGTTTCAGAAACAACAAAATCAGAACAACTAGACTCCGCTTCCTCAGTCCTGAAATCAGTTGGTGTCCACTGATTCGATTTGGAATGTTCAGCTTCTCTTTGCAACCGGTCACTTTCATCAGCAAATAAATGATTGTCCTGCTATTAAGATCAAAGGTAAAGGATTAGTGTTACAACAAAGTCAATTTAACAGTGATAAAATATCTAAAAGTACAAAAAAGATGATCAAATGAAGCCAGGACAGCCGGAGGGTCTACGCAAAGACATGACAAAGGAATGCCATGCAATTCTGATGAACAAGTAAAGCCATCAACCATTAATAATTTGTCTCTATTTGATTGCATGTTAATTGCTATTAGAAAGCATTACTAATAAAGTTCACAATGTATGCCAATGCCCTATCGTTCTTTTTTCCCTATCAAAGTAAGTTCACAAAATACTTGTCGTCAGCCGGAGGATCAAAATTACAAAGATTTAGCGGTGACTTTTAGTCTGGACTTTGTAAATTAATATAACAAATAAAAACAAGAGGGTAGCAAACTCAATTTCTTCAACTGGACCTCTATAGTATTGGTAAGCATTTCAGTTGATAAAATGTAAAGAACAAACTACAACAACAATAAACCTTTATCCTACTAGGTGGGATCAATTACATGGATCGCAAAACGCCATTAAGCTCTGTCAAAAACCAAATCTTTAGACATACTGTTAATTGAAAGTCGCTCAATAAATTCATGTTTGATGCTTACAGGAGAAGAGGTGATTACAGCTTCTCTAGACAAGCTCCCTTCATATGAGGTAATTGGTGGCCTTCTCTCATCTTCCCGATGCTCATTCCCAGCATCAATTTCATCTAAAATGGCCAATTGACCGTCATCTTGGATAGGCCTGTCTTTGGCAGTCTCAGTAGTATCAGAGGGAACCTTTACAGTTTCAGTGGTCCCAAATTTATTCACACTGATGTTATCTTTTCCCGCCAAATTCTTATCCATGTTGCTTGAAGAATTCAATTTGGACTTGTATTTTAACTCCTGAATGATTTCTCGAACAACATAGTAACTGCCACCAACTTCTTTCATAGTATGCTTAACATGTGGAAATTTCCCATCATTTGTTTCTCTGTACCTGAAGAGAAAAGAAGATTTAGTTTCAACGTCCATTATTGGCTAATATGAAATATGAGCACAATATTCCACTATACCAAACCTCAGATGCGACAGGATTTCTCTCCTCAACTAATTTATAATATATGAAGCGTGAAGATAGTGATGCCAACTCAGATGATGTTATGTTGATAAAATCCCCCCCCCCCCCCGGGGACCTAATAAAGCAGCTTCTACAAATGCTTGGTGGCCTTTTAAGTCAATTTTTTTAAGAGAAGGGAAGATCCTGTTCTTGACCACATAATCAGGACAACAATTAAAACACATGCAAAATAAAATTTCTTCTCCTCTGAGTATCCCTTTGTCATACCAAGGGTTAAGACCAACACCCTAAAAACTACTAATTTTTTTATCTTTGAAATCCTTGCACACTGTAATCTTTAAACGATTCAAGACACTTAAGTATGATCAAAATTTGTCAGATGCCCAATTGTGGAAAACATTAAGCAACTTACAGATTCCCCCTCAAATGAATGAAGTATATGTATTCACAATGACTGCTTTCCCTTTCGTATTTCACAAATTAACCAAAGAAAAGAAGGGGACAGCGGGAGTAATTCCATCATAACTAAGAAAGAATTCAATTAACTTCATTAATTTGATTATTTCCATAAACATGCAATTCAATAGCAATTAGGAAAGAATGAATAAGTGATCTGTTTCAATTAAAATGTTCAATTTATTTTGGTACAATTTTATGGAATTACCAGAATTCTCAGAGGAAAAAAATAAAATCATACTATTTTGATATGGTCACTTAGTCTGCAACAGTAACAAGCAGTTACTATTCCAGCAAATTTCAAAAGAAAATGCGCTATTGGATCAATGTCTTTTGGTCTTCTAATAAGCTGCTGAAACAACTCTGGATGTTGCATATTGTCCCCTAAATGCAATATAAAATATTCTTATTTGACTGTCCTACAATTTGCTTAAATAATTTAAGTACTTCAAGACAAAGCAGGTAGCAAAAAACTTCAAAAAATTTTCAATAAGCATGGCTTCAAAATTGATTAAGCACCGGCCAAACAAGAGAGAAAAAGAAGGAGGGATGAATTTGAGGAAATACTTCTTCACAAAAGACTCCACCATGGCTTTCCTTTCATCTCTTGAAAGCTTTTGACGTTTCTGATAATTTGGCTTGTCAGAAGGTACAGAAGCAGCATACGACCATGCACGCCACTGAGTATTTGACTGACCAACAGAACCGTTTGCCTCAATGAGCACTGCCAATCAACATGGCGAATACGATTACATAATAATTCAAAATATTATATAACACCTTGGCTTTGAATTAGACTCTCAAAATTGATGCCAAAGCAGCAATTGCATGAGATTAACGAAAACTAAGGAATTGAACTTCAAGTTATACGATACCACAAAAATATGCTTCTGATAACATTATGGCATTTAACAAAGATATCCAGCCATGTTAATGAACAACAGCACAACCACGCCCTTGTTTAAAGGATTGCGATACAAGATATAGAGAAGAGGATTTGGGTATATAAGGAAAAATACTTGTTCTGCCATATATTTTAAGAAGCTTTGGGTTTTTATAGACGCATGTTGTAGGCCATAGATCCTCAGCATCTACTTTTAAGAACGAATCCTGTTTTTCTAAGATAATTTTGATCTCCGAACTATCTTTGCAAGCTCTCCTTTTTCTCCCCTCCGACAAACCTTTTGCGCTCGTTCTTTGACCATGGGATCTTGTAGCAGTTGGTACAGTGCAAACTAATATTACCACTCCATCAAATCATTAACTCAATGAGCAACCAATAGATTTTTAAATTGATCCAGGGTACCCAACTCTTATTCAGTTTAACATTCTAGTTTAAACGTCCATTACTGTCCAAGTTGCATACACTACTTCTACTTCGCTAAAAGTAACAATATATCAAAGAATTCAAGAAAAATGAGGGGTGTCCCCACATCACTCTACATGCATACTGAGAATCTTGATTTTGTCACACACACATGACCAATATAAATTGCTAAATCGGCAAATCAAACGCAATTACACAGGCGCAGGCAACACACTTGATATTTCTCCCCTTGCATCCGTTACAGCACTTTGGTAGTCCCTTGAACAATCTAAACGATAATGAGTTTACCTTTTCACAGAAAAACCCCTTATGCATAAGTACAGGCCAAAAATAAACAACAAACACAGAACAGAATAAGCACGGAGACCCAAAAGTAGCAAATCACAAAAAAGAGAACCGAAAGAGCTAAAGGAAGTTACCCCATTTGGGTGGTCTGGGACGTGACAAGCGAGTGAGTCTGAGTTTGTCATTGGACAAGGAGAGGCCTCCTCTTGCAGCCATCAGGAGCTTCTTTCTCATTTCCACTACCTGCTGTTATCCGCTTGAGCTTTCCATTAATGTTAGATGTCCACCAGGTGACAGAAGAGTTTTCTCTCTGGTTATTTTGTTTTGTTTTTCCGGTGAGCGGAAAGAAGAGGAGGGCTTTGAAGCTTCTGCTTCTTCTGCCTTCGATCAAACTGAGGAGGGTTTATGGGTTTCGGCGTCAAAGACCGTTTCTAAAAAGAATTCCTGAAACGCCAAATTGGCAGTGTTAATAAAAACGCGCTGCCCAAAAATAAAACAATTTTTTGACCAAAAAAATTAGTTCTCTCTTTAGGAAATTATTAATATTATTATTTGAATCTAAATATAAGAAACAACTATACGTCGGCAGAAAAAACTATACAATTTGCATTTTGCTGGCCAAAAAAAAAAAGGCTATGCAACGTGCATTTATTGAAAAAAAAATTATTCTCCTTAAATTAGTGTCATTAAGTTAGTATCATTAAATACATAATCACATTGTCAAACGATTAGTATGAGCATGTGCTTCTGGCCCAAAAAAAAAAAGAGTATGTGCAAATATTCTTATTATTTAGTTATAAATTATTATAAAATGTTTAGAAGGTGTACTGTACTAAATCGGCCAACTCTTATTTTAACCCAAAAAGTCGTCTTTTAAGACTAGGACCAAGAATATTTTCCTTTCTTTTCTTTCTTATGAAACTTTTTCCTTTTTATTATGTCTGCTTTTAACTATGGCAATAATATTATTAATTGGAAACAATTTTTTTAGTAAAAATAACTTACATTACTAATGACTAATTATATTAGCACTAAAGCTTGCTATTATATCTAAATACTCCATCCGATCTAATTTACAAGATCCTATTCATTGGTCCTTAATAGAAAACCCTTTGTGAGACTCGATGAAACTTGTAATTAATCTCCCAAAAATTCCCTTGCCTCTTTATAATAGCTTTCCCATCCTCTTTCCCCAACAAGTTTTACCAATTAAAGGGTAATTTTGGAAAGTTGAAAAGTTTCTATCATTTAACATTTAAAATTAGTTAACATGGCCTCCTAAAAAGGACAAGAGGAAATACTTTTCAAGTATTAGTTCTTCGCTTTGGATCTGAGTATAGCTTTCCCCTTGTCTAGTTACAGCATCTATATCACAATATTCATTTTATATTTAGGGTCTGTTTGGGTGCTTCAAAACCGTGGTTTCAGAAGTACTTTTCCGCAAAACGAGGTAACCTCCTCCACATATTTATTTCGTAATCCGTAAAAGCACTTCTGAAACCATGGTTTGGTTTCTATCCAAACACTCCTTTAGTTCCCAGCAAAATCAACAAATGAAGGAACTTTCATAAATACTCCAAATGAAGACAGCAATAGGGCAATATTATGAGTAGACTAGATTACTATACATCTATACTTTGTGTTTGCCTGTAAAATCTGGCAACCCAGGGAGCAAGTTCAGTATTGTGAGGGGTCCTGGGGTTGGCAGAGTAATAATCAGACCAATAGCAAGGGGTGAGTCTATCTGTAAATCTTTTGCCAGCATAGACGCAAAACGGCAGCCAATTTTCACCTCCATTCATTCTTCTTTTCCTTTCCCTTGGGTAGGCCAGGGGTGCTTGCACATACCTGCCAATTTGTGTCAAACAACACTTTTACTAACATATTTTCTGAGCCATTTAAATACATAAAGAAATACGAATATCCTTTTTATCTTTTTCAGCTTATACATTTGCAAGGATCAGATAGCTTGAAGCATACAACTACATCGTGTGGTTATTTAGTCTTCTTGGCAACTATTAGCACATTCAGAGACCATTCTTTCCTATATTTTTATTTCTAGTAATTTTTCAAGGATAAAACCAAACCACTCTCGGATGGCGATACAAGCATAGGTGAAAGTCTTGACTAAGCGTTATGTAGAAGTGATTCCTTGCTGAAATGGGAAAGCTATGCTATGAATACCTAGTGCCTGGAGCTGGTCTAAACTCTAAAGAGAAGCCACTCCAGAAAAAACACCAGAGAACCTCCATTTAGTTTTTTTTGCATAACAGTAATATGCTAAAATGTAATCAAGAAAATTTGCTGGCTAGAAACGAGAAACAAGAAATACCTGATACCATCAATAACAGTATCCCAACAGAAGTGGGTATGACCAAACACATGGCAAGCGGATGCATCCCCCCTTCCCTCAGCCCCATGTATTGACCTTATTCGAAGCTCAAGGGAGTCTGAACCAATTATTTTTGGAAGCTTTGGATAGAATAACATCCTCTTCTCTGGACAAAGTTCCTGCCTGTGAACAAAGTAAGCAAATATTAGCCGTCAACTACCATATCACAAAGTCACGCAAATGTTTGCTGTTTAAGTCGCCCCCCAACCAGCAAGACACATCACAAAAAAAGTAGTATATTTGGTGATAATGAGAATTATGCATATAAATGTTACAAGTTTTTAAAGGATCAGTAGCTCTTTAAAGATTATTGCATCCTGTGCCATTTCTTCTTAATTTAATCCTTTTTGATGGATCATTAGATCTCATCAATCTGTTTCAAAACAGCACATACTAGTCATGCATTCAAACAAGCATAAAAGCAATAATAAAATATTTCAGCAATAAAACAAGACAAGCTTATAGTGACAAAAACCTGGGAACAAAGTGAGAAAAGGTAATTATGTGATCACATGTCATCTGAATCTCCTCTACCACATTTTGTTGCCTTTCATTCATGCCATCAAAATATAAAGCGAGGGAGATGTCTCCATTTGAAAGTCCCCTGGGCCACTTGCATGCATGAAAGTCCTTACAAGCCTAAGCCAGAAAAGAAAATACCATAAGTATAGAATCGTTGGCTGAAATAATAGCATTTAAATTAAAAGCAGACAAAAAAGGGAAATTGCCCAGTAATTGACAATCGTTAAAAGCGATACATGGCCAGAGCAACACGCACTTTCTGACTCATTAGTAATTGGATGGCGGTGTTAAGACGTGGAGTGAATTTCAAGGAAGTACATACATGGTATTGCCATGTAGCAGCAGCTAATAATCTCTGATGTCATGATTATATTTACCTTAACAATGAATAAAATGAAAATGCAATGTCCTTGTCATCAATATATAATATTTCTGCAAACATAAGAGAATATCGTACAGCACACTTAACCAGTTAATCCTCAAACAAAAACTGATGAGTTTGCTCAGACCATTAATCAGCTTTTCAAATGGCTTACTAGGAGTTAATAGAGTAGTCACCATCTCCAATGAGGGAATGCGAAGGCCTTCTATATCCTGCTCTTTGTCAAAGCTCTGCAAAAGAAAGCAGATTGCGCATTCAAACAAATAGCCCCTAAGAAACACTTTTCATTCTAGATCCAAAAAAATTTCTTGCTATGAATGATTGAGTTCATGAAAATTGACATCATCAAACCAATCACCTCATGGTACCAAGAAAACAAGGGGACGATTCCTAAGTCATCAATAACCATCGGATTTGTCTCAACTCCAAGACTCTTACATGCATCAAGCAATTTATTTAGCTTTTCAAGAGAATCAACCTGGATTAAAAAGAAAAATTACCCAAATCATCACCAGAAAGATACTAACAGAGGATCAGTGTCACATGCTTATATTCATCACCAAAAATGTCTTGCCTCGGCAAAATAAATGACCTTACATAATTTTCCCCATCACGACGACACCAGAGATCATGGTTCCCAGGTACAAAGAAGACATGTTGAAATCTTTCCTTTAGGAGAGACAGAGTGACAACAAACTTGTCATACGTCTCCGCAACATCCCCCGCAACAAGAAGAACATCTTTCTTGTGATTAATAGAGGACAAGCACTTTACCCACTTCATGTTCTCGGCATAGTCAGTATGCAAGTCAGAAACCACGAACACGCGCAAGCCAGAAGTAACCCCCAATACAGAAGGTAAAATCTGGGGTCTACCAAGGTCAACCTTTTTCATGCGACTTCCATGATTGTTCAATATTCGTTGAGAAAAATGGTTGGAGTGATGAGGCAGTCGAGAGATAGACAAACAAGAACTGAAGCCCAACATTAACTCCAATGGTGAGCAGTACTTTCAGATGTACTGCAATGATCAGAATTCACCACCAAGTACACCAAGTGATAATTTAATAGATAATGATCTTTATGCTGCAAAAAGGAAACACCAAAAAAAGAAAAAATCAGCGTTTGGTTGCTTGACAATTTAACATATGGAACAACCAAGAAAATGAATAAATGATCGCATTGCCCAATTGAATTGAACTCGAAGAAGAATATGAACCCTAACTCCGGATGAGAATGTGCTTTAGGCTTATAAATATTTCTCATACTCCTTTAAGGTCATTTGAAATTTGACAAGGGACACCTGAATGAATGCATAGGAACTATCAAGCAAACTACCCAAAATCGGAATCTGCAAATTGAAACGTAAGATACTGCAGTCTGCAGATAGAAAAGCACCTTTTTATGAGTTTCTTCTTAAATCAGAACACTACAGCTTTACTGGTTCAAGAGCAGAAAATCAGTTTTCCATACTTCCCGAATTCAAAAGACGGCAACTACCAGCTGAAGTGTCTTCGATTGAACATTGATCTTTGATTTTTGGCCTGAGAATTCATCAAATTTAGCTTTTTCCCCCCTTAAAAATCAAATTTTTCCCATATTTATTTGATTTTCGCCAACATTTTCCCTCATTTATTTAGACCTGACGGCTTTGAGCCGAAAATATCAAAATATAGATTGTTGCTCAAAACGAGTTTTTTTTCCTCTTCCAATGGCTCAAAACAAGAGCTATACTGTAAATCATTATAAATATAAATTGTAACATGATATAAAAATTGTCTATTTTGAAGTAATTCAACGCATACTTAGATCGCTGTACTCTTTTTTTAAATATTTTAAATGAGCATAAAATAAAATTATTTTCCTTATAAAATTCATTTGTAACTAAATCAAGAAAACGGGGCTAAAGGGTGAACTTTCCTACCGAATCGGGTATTGGATAACATTAATGAAAAAGTATTAGCATGATAATTAATTAACAATATGGAGTATATTTTTCTTGCCTGCAAAATATGGAGTACATAGTTATGCTTGGATTAATAAAATTATATTATGACCCAAGGTAAAATTAAAAGACATATACTCTTCCGGTCCTTAATATAGGACCCAATTCTTGAGTTGGTTTTGGTCCTAAATATAAGACCTATTTCTCATATTTATCAATTTTCTCTAAATTACCCCTATAAATACTCTCTCACACATAATCAAGTAGAAGAGGGAGAGAGGGTATTAAGAAAGATGATTATGGTATTTTGGGAAAAATATGTTACTTTTCTTATAATTAACTAACTTACCTAACTTCCTTAATCTAATCAAATTAGTTAAATGGGTCTTATATTAAAGACCGGAGGAGTATATCAAATCAAAGTTTGAATAAAAAGTGCATGTATTTAATGGCTATTAGTTTGTTGCTACATAACAAAACACTAGTTTAGAAGGTATTTGGAATATTTTAAAAGTATTTTTAAATTTTTTTTCATAAATCGAGATGAATTGTTTTATATTTATTTTATATACAGTAAAATTGTTTTTAAAATTATTGTTTGGTTTTTATTCCTCAGTTACGTGCACAATCAAATGACTGGCAAGCTTGATTCATGTACAATTGATCATCTATGCTTCATCCTAATCCGATCAGTTTTTTTTTAAAAAATTTAATTTATGATAAATATCAATAAAACATTTTCAAATGGTAACATATTAATTTTAATTTTTAAAATAATTATGATTGTTATCAAAAATTATCATTTATGTCTAATGATTTTAGGTTTTTTTTAACACTAATGATTTTAGAATTAAAGGATTTAATTTATATCTTTTTAAAGTTAAATGACCAAATAAAAAATTTGTATAAAACTCAAAGACTAAATATATATTTTAGCCTTTAATTTATTGTTAACATTGATTTTTTAAGCTAATTAGAGTTTTTTCAATCTCAAAAAAAGCATTGATTGTTTTTAGATAAGTTGAGTTTTAAGCTAATAAGAGGCAGAGTAAAAAAGGAGTTAAATTAAGATAAAATCGAATATAAATACAATGTAATACACAATCCGAATCATCTCTCTTGTAGATCCTTTTTTTATTTGAAAACCTAAACTAATCTTGTAGATCCTTTTTTTATTTGAAAACCTAAACTAAACTAAGTACCAAAAAACATTGAAAGGGTTTTGAAACTGATTTTCTTTAATAAAACTATTTTGTAAACAATGAAAATCGGATAAATCCTAATTACTAATTTTTTGGGCTTTTTAATAAAGTGATAAATGAAAATATTAATTTGGATCTTAAAGAATTCGATAATGAGATGCTTTGTGAAAATGAATCAATAACTATCCTAATTTATTTAATGATATAAGACTAACTCATATGATCATGATTGGTTTATAGAAGTTATTCTTTTTAAATTAATACTCAACTAGAACATTAATTATTTGTTAAAATCATTTCAAGCATAATTTCTATACAACTTGTATGAAAATCATACTTAGGCACAAACATAAATATATTTATAAACCAAGTATTCAGACTCGCAATTATCAATCCAAATCTTAATAATTCCAATTCAAACTAAGAATTACAACAATTTCTAGTTTAAAACCAAATATAACAAATTTCAAACAAAAAAATCATCAATTAAATAGTCTAAACAAATGACTAGAATTAAACTCCTCTTTATAGCTTTCAAACTCAAGCCATTAAATTCAATTCTAAAAAACACAATGAACTCAACCTTCCATAATTCTAAACCTAGTCACAACACAACTCAAAAATTCAGTAGCCATGGGAGACGATGATGCTCGTGGCAACGGAGTGTTGGACACCATTGATGGAGAACAAGAAAGATGAAGTTGAAAGATTCAGGGTGTGTTTGGGATCACAGTGAAGGCCTCCAAACTAACTTCTCCACCAGTGAAAACTAAAAAAAATAACTTTTGGTTTAAAACATATGTTTGGATCTGCTACAAGGGTAAATGGATTTATACTGGAAACGAACTTTTTTCCAAAAGCTCTTGCTTTCAGCTTTTCTGCTGCTATTGGTAAAAAAAGCTTCTCTACTGCACATTTCAATAGATGGGGCTCATGAGTGAGGGAGGAGAGAGAATGCATGGTGTGAGTTCCTCTTTTTTTTTAAAAAAAAATCTAGCTAGTTTGTTTTTAATATTAAAGAAATTATTTTTTAAATAATAAAATCATTTAAAAAAATAAGTTTATTATTCTTTAAAATAACTATTTTTATTTTTATAATTATAATTTTAATTTTTCTCTAACAATTATCACATTATAAAGATATAATATAAATATGTACCATTCAATAAAGTTTATATCCTTTTCAGTCATTTTACATCTAAATTTATTTTTTTATTAATCATTCAAATAATTTTCAACTTTTTAAACTGATTTTTTGACAAAAGTCAATCCAAATATAAATCACATTACACTATATGATTTTTATCTAAAATCAAATTGAAAAAAAATAATTTTTTCTACTGCTAATCTAAACACACCCTCGCGGGGTGGAGTCGCGTTTTGGGCCGCCAAGGAAAGATGAAAAATTTGAGTGTTATTGGCAGCTTGGATGTCCTGAGACTGATGAAGGAGGAAGAGTATATAGATCGCTGGACTTTTTTTTTTCCCCCTCTCTATATTTAAGAAGAAGTCGAAGGCTTGTGAGTGTGCGGCCTGTCTCCCTCGCACGATTGAGGACGTATTTAAAATAATTTATAAACAGTTTTTTATTCATAATTTACAAAATATAAAAATAAATATGCGACAAAAAATTTATATCAACTTATATGAAACGTATTTATAAGTAATTTTAATCGTGATGACAAACAGAACCTAAATCCTCCTCTAACAAATCAAATGCCCTAAAAGTTAAATCTCCAAAATGATGTGCTCTGGTCCTTCATTCTTTTAGTTTTTCCCCTCCTTTTCAGCTCCTAATTTCAATTTGTCCTCATTAATCTGCAAAATAATTTAAAAATATGTAATATCATGAAATCCCAAAATAAATTATTTAAGAACAAACATAAAGATATGACAAAATTACCTATTTTTCTCTATTTTAATAAAATCATTCTTTAATTAAAAATAATAATAAATACAAATTAACTTATTTTAGTCGATAAAACACCCCAAAAAGATATAAAATAACAAGAAAAAACAAAAGTTTATCAAGAAAAAGTATTTATAAATGCTTTTATAAATTATGCACTAATGAAATCTTTATATTGATGAGAGTAGAATTCTAATTTCTACGTTAAAAATAATGCAAAATTTTATTAAAAAAATAATAAACGTTGACGATAAGTTCTGCAAATTTGTGTCCTAATATTTCCCCGGCAGTTATGGGCGTCATCTATTACACACACCCACCCCTTTCCGCCAAAAGCCTCCCACCTTTCACGCGGGTCCAAGTATTTTTACGGATAGGATCCTCTTCACTATTATGTTACGCCATTTTTTCAATTTTGTAAAAATAAATAAATAAAATTAAACTGCTAAATTTTAGTCACAGTAATTTAAAATAATAATAAAACATATTTTATAAAATATAAATTCAAATTGTTCCAATTTCAATTTTATAAATTGTAACGGTTTACGAGAACTGCAAAAAACAAATCACTATAGTTCATGCCATATTTTTTTCAAAAAAAAAGATTTAGCAAGGCTTTTACTTTTGGTAGGGAGCATTGAAAATGAGGGATTGGGATTGAGATTACAATTGAAAAAATCTATTAAGAGAGTGTTTAATATAAGAAATTGTTTGATATATGGGATTAGCCAAAGCCATGTATGTGGGATTGGAGAATACCATGGGGGGAAGTGGTATTCTCTAATCCCACCTTTATGAGTTTGTCTAATCCCATATAACAAACAATTACTCATGCTAAGTATTATTTTAATGATTTTTTTCAATTACAATCCCAATCCCAATCCCTCATTTTCAATGCTCCCTACCAAACGGGACCTTAGTACCATGCGATATTCCCATGGGGTTCATTGTTTGTCGCTTTGTGTAGAGCTTATTGTGTCTTAAAAAAAAAAGAAAAAGAAATAACTAAACTAATAGAAGCTAAGTCTAACGAAAAAAACTAATATCGTATAACGTAATAAATTAATATATGAATTTTTATTAGGAAGGATACACATATTTAGTACTGATAATTTGTCAAACGATATTGTCTCTAATAGAAAAATATATATGCTTATATATATAAAAAAAAAAAAAAAGAAACGATTATAAGTATAAAGATTACAAAAAGAGAAGCTATCAATAATTATAGAAATACAGCATCGAACTTTCAGAAGAATTATGCAAAATGAAATAAATTAAACTAAGTTAGGATATACCATATCCCTTTACGTGCCATTAACATATTGCTTAAGATTAACTATAACGACGACGACATTGATGAGAACTCACTACAAATATTTTAATTTCACATGTTTAATAACAATAAAAAGATACCAGTACATCCACACAACACGCAGATAATGCAAAAATTAAGCAACGGAAATAAATAAATAAATAAATTCGTGATCACCCGATATGAGAATTAAAT